TCAGCATAACTATTTTGAGATTCATCCATGTTGCTGTGCATATCACTAGTTTATTCCATTTTATTGCTGAATAGTATTCCATTGTATGGATATACCCCAACTTATTTACCCGTTTGTCTGTTTGTGCAGAATTGTGGATACAAGTGATACCGGACTTTTAGGTACTTAGTTCCCATGTCAATAGAAATTGGCACGAGACCAGAAAGACTTAGGCAGGCAAGGCTTTACTCAGGCTTTTGCTCAAACAAAAGGGAGACAGCTAGTTCAGGAGGCAGCCAGACTGGCTCTCTGAATAAAGGGCTGGGGAAATTTTATGGGGTGTAAAGAAGGAGCTAGGTGTCAGCTTTGAAGTCATCATGTGTAGAGGCAGGGTTCTGTTGGTGGCTGTGCACCTGGTAGTCATGCTTCTTCATGCATATCATGTATCATTAGCATTTTAAATCTTCATCCCTGGGTGTGGTTTTTAGCAAATTAAAATGGGATTATAATGAGGGAAAAGTTAGGGTAAGGTCAGTATGGGGGTCTGTTTTGGCTCGAGGCTGTTATATCTGGATAGGTCTGGTTTCTTTGCAGCCAGCTTCCTTATCAGCTGGTGTCAGCATCATGCTTCAGTGGTCCTGGAAGATATTACCCCAGAGACAGACAATTGGCCCCCACCTTATATGAGTATGGGCTGAATTCCAGCAGCTAGGAGGTCAGTTGTTTTTTGCTCTTCTACAGTTAATTAGGCTGGGTCATACTGCCCTCATGTTGGCTCCCTTAAAAGTGAGCCCCAAGTCTTGTCCCCATATTATCTCATGAGGACAATGCATAAAAATCAATTGTATTTCTATATGCTACCAATAAAAAATTGGAATTTGAAATTTTATTAAAATACCATTTAAATAGCATCTATTAATAAAAGTATAAAATAAGGGTAATTTTGTCAAAAGATGTGACTTATACGCTTAAAACTACAAAACATAAGCATTATTGAAATTAAAGAAGACCTAAATAAATAGATATACCATGTTGATGGCATATCTTATACTGTGACTTAATATTGTTAAGATGTCAATTCCCAAATTAATCTATAGACTTAATGCAATCCCAATTAAAATTCTAGTCAACTTTTTTGTAGAACTTGACAAGCTAAATCTAAAATTAATATGAAAATATAAAGGACCTAGAATATCCAAAACAACTTTGTTTTCTGTTTCTGTTTTTTTGAGACAGGGTCTTGCTTTGTTACCTGGGCTAGAGTACAGTGCTGTCATTATAATTCACTTCAAGCTCAAACTCCTTGGCTCAAGTGATCTCCTTGCATAGCTGGGACTACAAGCACGTGCCACCACACCCAGCTAATTTTTTTACTTCTCGTAGAGATGGGGTCTCATTATTGTCCAGGCTGGTCTGGATCTCCTGGCCTCAAGTGATCCTCCCACCTCAGCCTCCCAAAGTGCTGGGATTATAGGTGGGAGCCACCTTGCCCAGCCTAAAACAACTTTGGAAAGGAACAAAGTAGGGGGACAAACACTACCTGATTCTGTCATTTTTGGTTTTTTATTTGTTTGGCTTTTTCTTTAAAAAAAATTTTTTTTTTTTTTTTTTAAATTTTCTACAGAGATGTCAAGGCAATACCATTGAGAAAAGATAATCTTTTCCACAAATGGTACTGGAGTAATTGAATAACCATATGCAAACAAATGAATTTCCACCCTTAGCTCATACCATACATAAAAATTAACTTGAAGGGAATCATAAATATAGTATATAAAAACAAAGACTATAAAACTTCTAAAAGAAACCGTAGGCGACAATCTTGATGACTTGGGAGTTTGACAAAACTTTCTGTAATAGGACATAAAAAACATGAATTGTTTTTTAAAAATTAATATATTGGCCTTGATAAAAATTTTAAATTTTTGCTTTTCAAAAGGTACTGTTATAAAAATAAAAAGGCAAGCCATAGACTGGAAGAATATATTTGCACAACACATATAACAAAGGTATTAAATCTAGAATACATAAAGAACTTGAGGTTAATAACAGGACAACCCAGTGGGAAAATGAGCACACACCTTACTAGAAAAGATGTATAGTTGGCCAATAGCACATAAAAAGACACTCAACATTATTAGAGAAATGCAAATTAAAACCATTGTGAGGTATATACTACATATGTGTTAGAATGTCTAAAATTTAAAACACTGACAATATCAAGTATTGGCAAGGATATGGAGGAACTGCAAGTCTTCATACACTGCTGGTGGTGATACAACCACTTTGGAAAAGTTTGGCATTTTTCCTTAACAAGTTAACCATACACCCACCATACAATTCAGCCATTTTACCCGAAAGAAATGAAAGCACATGTCCACATAAAGACTTTACACAAATATTCATAACTGCTTCATTTGTAGTGGCCAGAAACTGGAAATAATCCAAATGTCCATCAACAAGTTACTGGATAAACAAATTATGGTATATCCATACAATAGAATGCTACTAAGTAGTAAAAATGAACTAATGATACACAACATGCATGAATTCCAGAGTAACTATGCTGAGTGAAAAGACAAGAGTAAGTACTATATAATTCTAACCACATAAAATTCTAGTAAATGTAAATAAACTATGATGACAAAGAGCAGATCAGCGGTTGCTTGGGGACAGGGTGAAGGAGTGGGGAAGAGAGGGAAGGAGAGATTACAGAGGGGCATAAATAAACTTTTGGACAGGGTGGATATATTAATTATGTTGATGTGTGGCTTTACAGTTGTATATAATACATGTCAACACATGAAATTGTATAGTTTAAAAATATACCTTATTGTATGTTAATTATACCTCAATTATATTATAAAATAACACTGTGAAAAGTACTGAAATAGATGCAGATTGAAGGCCTTTGGCTCTTCCAACTCTAATCTTATCTGATTCTGTATCTCTATATATGTTAGAATTGGTAACATTAACTAAAAGGTCCCAGAGACTGTTTGTAGTCAGAGCATGGGAGTTTATTCTTACATGATTTAAGCAACCACAGAAATCTCACTCCCCAGAAATGGAGAGTCCACTACTTCAGGGTTCCTTTTTATAATGCTACCTGCAGCTCAGTAATTATGAAATAATTTGTTATATCCCAAGTGCTCTGAGGAGTTGCTTCCTTGTTAGATATAAACCAAAGGGGATAATTTAAAGATGAAGAGTCACATATTGTATGGTTCTAAAAAATGATGTATCCAGATTAGACAAATCCATAGAGGACAAAAAACATGAATGGTTACCAAGGGATGTAGGAAGGGGGTAATGAGGATTGATTACTTAATGGGTATCAGGTGTTTTTCTGGGGTGATTCAGGTTCTGAAACTAGCAAGAGGTGGTGGTTACGCAACATTGTGAATACACTAAAATCCACTTTAAATGGTTGCATGTTATGTGAATCTCACCCCAAGTTTTCAAAAAAAAATCAAAGGGATCAGAAAAACTTAAAAGTAGGGAATTGAATAGATTGCAAATATCTGATAAATGGATGAGAGGAATTTGAGGCATCAAACCTGCTGGAAAAAAGTAACTGGTGCTCACACATAAATGCAGTGAATCAACTTTTCCTCCATAGTGACCTAGTGATAATCTTACAAAATAAAAATCCTGAAAGTGGGTATATCTCTCCTGTTCCATATTGGCTATGAGATCTCAAATTTGAAAACCTGCTTTCAGAGCCCAATTTTCACACTAACTCATTGTGGGTTACATTACCTATTATTATCCTTAGCTATAATTATTATCTTTAGAAATACTGCAAGTGGGAAAACTTCCATGAGCAGGTTGTAGCTAAGGGCTCCAAAGCCCAGTCAGCTCTAAACAAGCCTTCTTATTTAAGTGGCATGGTCTGTGTGGAGTCTAGAAGGTAAGCCCATAAAACAAGAATTTGTTAGTGTTTATCAAGACCCACTGAGGAGAGAGAAATTGAAATCTCAGTGATAAATGTTTATCACCAAGAGGTGTGCTCTGGTGTGGCCTCTATATATGGCTTAGTTGTAGTGGCTCTTAAGACTACCTTTTCTTCTGATTCTTATTAAGCAACCTACAGGTCATCTATTTTGCTTGTGATACGCCCTAACATTGGCAAGGAGTTGCTCTGGAATGTATTCTCATTCCATCAGATACAAGTACTTAAAAATTAAGTACTTGTAATATTAAGTATATTGATTTCAGTCTCTTCTGAGTCTGGTAAGCATTAAGTATTTTGGATGGCCTGTCTGATACAGTCCTAGATCCCAGACTGTGGTGACCCTGTGATTGTCTTATTTTTCCTAGCTTTCACAGAATTTTGATGAATGGTGAGAGCTAAGTAGTGTACGGATGTTACTAGTTATTCTATGACTATCCATTTAGGTCATCCAACATTCTTGTCTTTGGCACAAGAATGTGGGAAGGGGTCTTATGATCCAGTTAGTCCATTTGGCACTTTTGAATTCACCTTTGCCTCTCAGATCCCTAATCACTCAAATACGCACTGATAAGCCCTATCATAGAAGAAAATGAAACCAGGAGATGGATTGTTTATATCCTGTGCCTAGTTCAAAATGTATGAATCTCAGCAGCTCCCTGGATCCTGGGTCTAATGGAGATTGGGTGCTACTCCAGGGTTGGGTCTCTGCTGGTAGAACTACCAGCTAACACAGTCTCAGCCATAAATTTATTGGTTCTTGGGTTTTCTGTGTATGAAGCCCACATTTTGGGTTCTAGCTACACCTATACTGATTGATATTTCAGTGACCTTAGAGTATAAGATCACAGGGAATAGAGCCAATAGAAAATGAAAATGTTTCCTTTAGCTTTGTATTTATGTTTATAGGGGAACATAAAAGAGTATATAGATTCCAGGTATTTTAAACTCCTTAGGGAAATCTTGAACTGTCTTTGAAATGAAATTGCCTCAACTGTTGCTCCTTGGTTTTTCCGTCAGTCCCAGAAGCCCAATGCGGGGGTTTCTTTTCTTTTCTTTTTAAATTTTATTTATTTTTTATTTTTATTTTTTTTGAGACAGAGTCTCGCTCTGTTCGGGTTAGAGTGTCATGGCATCAGCCTAGCTCACAGCAACCTCAACTTCCTAGGCTCAAGTGATCGTTTTGCCTCAGACTCCCAAGTAGCTGGGAGTACAGGCATGTACCACCACACCCGGCTAATTTTTCTATTTTTAGTAGAGACATGGTCCCACTCTTGCTCATGCTGGTCTTGAACTCCTGAGCTCAGGGCGATCCTCCCACCTCAGCCTCCCAGAGTGCTAGGATTACAGATGTGAGTGACTGCACCCTGCCCCAATGCTGGGGTTTCAAGACAGAGATGACAATGACCTCTACCTGTCATTATGTTCTCTGCAGAAACGCTATGTGCTAGAGGAAGCTGAGCAACTGGAGCCTCGAGTTAGTGCTCTAGAAGAAGACATGGATGATGTGGAGTCCAGTGAAGAGGAAGAAGAAGAAGATGAGAAGGTCAGGCACACATGAGTTTAAGAGTTGTGGGAGGGATAGTTATAGAGGATGGGAATGGTCCTTGTTTTTGTTGTCAGACCTTAATTTTTAATTCTCTTTAACCAAAACACCACCTTATTTTCTCATTAGAAGTATAAGCTTTAGAGTCAAATAGATTTTGGTTCATCTCAGCTCTACCATTTACTAGTGGTATAACTTTGTGCACATTACTTAACCTTAGTTTTCTCCTCTGTAAAGTGAAGATAACAATACTTTTCTCTCAAGACTGTTATGAGAATTAAATGAGATAGTACACATAAAGCTCCTAGCATAATATTGACACATTATAATTGCCTAATAAATGGTATCTATTAAAATAAATATTTGGGAAAAAACATTTTTTTTTTTTTTTTGAGACAGAGTCTCACTGTGTTGCCCAGGCTAGAGTGCCGTGGCATCATCCTAGCTCACAGCAACCTCAAACTCCTGGGCTCAAGCGATCCTCCTGCCTCAGCCTCCCGAGTAGCTGGGACTACAAGCACGTGCCACCATGCCCGGCTAATTTTTTCTATATATTTTTAGTTGTCCAATTAATTTCTTTCTAATTTTAGTAGAGACGGGGTCTCGCTCTTGCTCAGGCTGGTTTTGAACTCCTGAGCTCAAACAATCTGCCCGCCTCAGGCCTCCCAGAGAGCTAGGATTACAGGCGTGAGCCACCACGCCCGGCCAAAAAACACTTTTTGTAATTGAACCTATCCTAAGAAATAAGCCTAGTTTAGGGAAAGAAAATTCTTCTACACAGTCATGTTCTTTCAGTACTAGTTATAATGCTGAAAAATTGAAAACAATCAAGCTTCCCAGCTGCCAGAAGCATCAGATAAACTGTTAAAACTAAACAGACTTCTTTGTAGCCATTAAAACTATTATGAAAAGTACATGATAACATGGAAAATGCTTACATTAAGTTAAAATAGAAAGGTCTAAAACATTTGTAGCCTTTTTTGCACCCTTCCTTTTGTTCTCTCTTTGCTATGACATTGGTTCCAGTCATTATCTGTGCTGTATGTATCATGCCTTGTAAACCTGTATCTTGCTCTTGCCTATATCTTACTCTTGCCCTATAATCCTCTCTCTCTCTCCTCAATAAACCTCATTTTCATGCTTGCCTAAAAAAATAAATAATAAAACATTAGTAAATAAAATTATAAGTAACAATATATGCATAGAAAAAGGCTAGAAGGAAATACAACAAGAACATTTAACTGGGAATTGATTTTTTTTATCTGAAAGAAGTAGAGGTCTAATTTTTTCCCCTCATCTCACACTACCATTCCTTTCCCACTTATCTGCATTGCCATCTTTGCCATAATTCAAAGTTGTGTATGTATGTGGGTCTGTTTCTGGTATCTCTCTTCTACAGGTCATTTTATCTATTCATGTGCAAGTACCACACTGTCCTAATTATATAGCTTCATAGTAAGTTTTGATATTTAGTAGGGCAAGTGCCTCCCTCTTTGTAGTTAGATTACTGTGTTTTAAAAGTCACTTGCAGATGGACTTTGGGACAGGATAGGAAGAGAAGTGTAGTGCCCACCAATGAGCCAACCATCTCATTTCCAGTTGGAGAGAGTACCATCACCTGATCACCGCCGGAGAAGCTACAGAGACTTGGACAAGCCCCGTCGCTCTCCCACGCTGCGCTACAGGAGAAGTAGGAGCAGGTCTCCCAGAAGGTAAGGCCCTAGTAATTGACATCTTTCAGGGAGACGTTGAACACTATAGCCTAGAAGTTTAGATTTCAGAGAAGGAAAAAATGCCAGTCTATGAAGAACATTTGTCTAATGTATTAGTTAGTTGTCTATTACTGCAAAGCAACCACTCACAAAACCTCATTGGCAGACAACAGTAACCACTTGTTTAGTTCACAGGTAAGCAGTCAGTGATTTAAGCATGGTTTGGATAGGCAGTTTTTGAAGTATTAAGTTCTGCTTAGTCACTTGTTTTGTGGTCAGCTGTCTATTGGCTGATTGGTCAGCTATCTGTTGGGTGGTATAGGATGGTCTTAGCTAGGATGATGGGGGCAACTTTTCTCTGTAGGCTCCGTTGGGCATGTTCTTATGGCAGTGGCAAAACTCAAGAGCAGACAAGCCCCATCATGCAAGTGTTTTTTTCTAGTATCTGCTTCTATCACATTTGCAAATATCCCATTGGCCAAAGCAAGTCACCTGGTCAATCGCAAAGTTATAGTGGGAGGGTGCTACAAAGTTACATGACAAAGGACATGGATACAGAGAAGGGTAAAGAATAAAAACGGGGGCCAATGTTGCAATCTCCAACATCCAGTGCACCAACCTAGGCTCTGTTTTTCCTTTATAGGCGGAGTCGATCTCCCAAAAGGAGAAGGTAGGCCTTCAGTCATTTGTGGTGAAGCATAGTGCCTTGGGGGGGGAGGCGGTGTTGCATGTATATTGCCAAACAGATCTGGTAGTCTGACTAGTCTTTTGCACAGCCCCTCCCCACGCCGAGAAAGGCATCGGAGCAAGAGTCCAAGACGACACCGCAGCAGGTCCCGAGATCGACGGCACAGATCCCGCTCCAAGTCCCCAGGTATAGCATTTGGCCTTTTGCCATAGGTTGTCTTAACAATGAGATGTAAGAGGATAAATTAGCCTCCTGCACTACAAGAGTGCCGGACTATACTGTTGCCTAGCAGAAAAGGAAATAGACATGGAATTTGAAAATTAAAGCTCACATTTTGACTGTACAAGCTTTGTAGATACGATAATGGGCTTCAGTTTTTTCATTTGAAATTATAGGAATAAAATCTAACAGAGAAATGGTGAAAACCCAATATGATGTTTGTAAAATTCACCATAAAGCCCTGAATGTATGTGAAGTGGTTTCATTATTCCCTGCCTTCCCCCAACCCCCATATATGCCAATTCAGAGAGGCACTACCAACAAGAGGTATCACCAGCATAGGCCAGTTAAGCCCACGGGAGGCATTAGGGGAGGTGAGAAGAGTAGAATCTCACTCAATTGCCTTTTCTTCTCCAGGTCATCACCGTAGTCACAGACACAGGAGCCACTCAAAGTCTCCTGAAAGGTATGGATTGACCTGTTTTAAGAATTTAAATCTTTATTCAGAAATTCAAGTCCCAATGACAACTAAGTTGGACCTGAAATTTTCTTGTTTTGGTGGGAATATTAGGAAATCTCCTTTATTATAAGACAATATTGGCCTCTTGCTCTAAGAAGTACTGGGATTATGTATCTGTTTTTTGTTTTTGTTTTTGTATGTAGGATTGTAGCTATGGATAATAATTGAGCTTTGGTATCAGGAGACCTGGGGTTTAGTCCCTACTTTTAAAACTTAACAGTTGAGTGACTTTGGACAAGTCACTTTCATTTGATAAGTTTTAATTAGAAACCCATTTATTATGCTATTTACTGTTAGACATACACTGAGGTCATTTCCTCAGTGGTAAATTTCAGATAGTAATACTTGACTCAAGGGTGCTGTGCTTAAACATAAAAAAAGACACCAAGTACATTTAATGAATATTGGGTGTCATCTCCATCCCCTTTAAGTCCTTGTCCAGCTCCTTAATGTAATGATTTATATGTGTTGCCATTTCAGGTCTAAGAAAAGCCATAAGAAGAGCCGGAGAGGGAATGAGTAATGGACTCAGTTTGCTTTAAGTCCAAAATGGCCTCCTGTGGATATGAGAGTATCTATGTGAAAGGATTAAGATCTCCACCCTAGGCAGCTGTAAGAATATTTTAGTTTTTTCTTATCAGGTTTCTCCACTTTTTTTTTTTTTTTTTTTTTTAACAAAAGAGGTGCTAAGTTTTGTATCTCTTTTTGAATCTTAACATCTTTGAAGGATGATGTTCCTAAGGTCAGTTAGAGGGAAGATAATGTTTCCTAAGGATTCCCTTTTTGTTATTAAATCTGACACACCCATTTCCCATTTTTCTGTAGTTTACTTTTTGGTTGTTCTGTGATTGGAACTGCTTTTAGGATCCTGGGATTTGTGCTGCTGTTATTATTCAAATATCAAATCAGTAAAACATCATAGCTCCTAACTTTTTTGCAGCAGTGGCAAGTGGTAATAAACATGAAAACTGGTTAGTAGCAGTTTTGCAAGAACAGAATGCATTCAAATGAAAGGCTGCTTCTGGATCATTTAATCCAATTTCACTGAATAGTTCAACAGATGGCAGCACTTTAACACCCTTTATACAGTACATTCTTACAGAGTGCCATTTGTTCTTCCCACAAGCTTTTAAACCCAGGTTAAGGTGCTCAGCCCTTATCAAACATTGACAATATCCAAGCCTAATCAGTAGCAATAAGGACATGAGGATTGAAAAAGATTTGATGGAGAGAAAAGTGTCTAATACTACTCATGGTTTTGACCTGAATTGCTGGACACTAATGCCATTCACAAAGCCAGAAAATACAGCAGGGGCCAGGTGCGGTGACTCACACCTGTAATCCCAGCACCTTGGGAGGCTGAGGCAGGATTGCTTGAGGACAGGAGTTCGATACCACCCTGGGCAACATAGCAAGACCCCGTCTCTGCAAAAAATACAGCAGGAAGAAACAGCTTTTAGAGAGGCAGGAATGAGAAGATTGTGGTGATAGTGGAAATGATACTCATTTTAACAAGTTTAATTTGAGATAACTGTGGTATAGCTAAAGACCAGAAAGTTGGAAATAGGGAATACAGTTCTCTATAGTGATTGAGGCTAGAATTGACAGTGTTTATGTAACTGTGGAAGATGCAGATGAGATTGCCCAAGGACAGCCTGTGTGTATGAAAAGCAAACAATAGAACCGTAGGCAACACCAACAGGGTGACAGGAAGAAGTACAAGTCACCTATTTATTGAAGACTGTAATGACCCCTTCAGAACAACAGGAGAATTAGAGTAAGTTGTAGAAACTAAGGTTTAAGGATACAGAAGCAAAGTGAGGATTAAAGTGTCTCCTTGGGCATTGATAATTAAGAGATTATTCAGATCTTTGCTAGAAGAGTTCCCTTTACCTGTACTTACTTTAACTCCTTTAAAAAGGGAAAAGTGCTTAAATGACTTCCTGTACCTCTAGTCCTAGCAGAAATTGTTAAGACCAGTGTGTTACAGCATCCAGTGTCTTGGAAAGTTATGTCTGGTCATAGTATAAACATTGTTATTTGATATTGAACAGAAGGACTTTTACAGCAATATTAAAGCATTTTTTAAAACTATTTGAGCTTTTGTATTCCTTGATGATTATTTTCATTCATGATTATACCTGAGTTGAAGTTGTCCATAAGAACTGTATGGTTTCTGATACAACTACATATAGGACTACCTTCTAAAAATAAATATAAGCATCTTGGCTGGGCACGGTGGCTCACACCTGTAATCCTAGCACTTTGGGAGGCCGGGGTGGAAGGATCACTTGAGCCTAGGAATTTAAGACCAGCTTGGGCAACATAGTGAGACCCCATTTCTTTCAAAAAAAACAAAAAAAAAGGCAGCCAGGCATGGTGACTTGGCACCTGTAGTTCTAGCTACTCAATAGGCTGAGCCAGGAGGATCACTTTAGCCCAGGAGTTTGAGGTTGCGGTGAGCTATGATCATACCACTGCACTCTAGACGAGGCAACACGAGACCCTACCTCAAAAAATATATATATAAGTATCTCTACTTAAATGTTACAGAATCCTAGCAGTTATTTCTTTACTAAAGTGATGTAGGTGGAAAGAAATGTCATCTGGCTAAGCAATGCATGGACCAACCAAATCATCATCCAGTATATTGTTAAAACTTTGATTTTAAAATATAAAGTAACCCCCCCCCCACACACACACAAAATAACCCCAATAAATTTTAATAATAGAAGTAAACTTCCCCAAACTTCAAAGCATACTTAGACATATGGTAAAATCTAGACCAAAACTGGGGCATCACAGCTAACTATAGCAGGAAGTAGAACAAAGAGATAAGGGTGAGTGGGACATGAACATCTCTCTAGGTATCATTTTGATAAAAGCACTGCAGGGGAGACGAAGCTTAAGGAAAACCCTTATTGTAAGGCCATTTCTGTCATCTGTGTGGTAACCTATTGGATGAAGCCTTGGAATGGTAACTTCAAAACTTACTGACTAGGCTGGGCACAGTGGCGTACTCCTGTAATCCCAGAACTCTGGGAGGCTGAGGTGGGAGGACTGCTTGAGCTAAGGAGTTGGAGACTACCATGAGCAAGAGAGAGACCCCGTCTACTAAAAATACAAAACTTAGCTGGGCGTTGTGGTGTGCACCTGTAGTCTCAGCTACTTGGGAGGCTAAGGCAGGAGGATTTCTTGAGCCCAAGAGTTTGAGGTTGCAGTGAGCTACGACGAAGCCACTGCATTCTACCCAGGGCAACATAGAGAGACTCTCAGAAAAATTTTTTGACTACAGCCTACATTTTAAAAATGTTGTATTTTTTGTACACACATGGATATTCTGTACTGAAATTTCAGGAAAGAATTCTTATGCAAAAATGAATTCTGATATTTCCTACTTGATACTAGTTTTTAATATTAAGTACAAACCACTAAATTGATTTCACTTGTCACAATTTGAAATACACTGCCTTAAAAGCTTTGCCATAAAGCATAATGACCTCTTAATGCTAAGAAATAAAGGGAGATGTGTTCCCAGGGGCAAAGGAAGAAATAGATTTGGTGAGAGGGTTCCAATATAACCACCCCACTTAAAGCTCATTCCTCTGACTTCTTCCTGCTATTGTTAACTAGATTGACCTAAGTTTAAATAAGCATTAATCAGAAAAGAATGATCACAGATGCTGCCACTCCCCCAAAAAGGTTAAAATGACAAATTCTCCAGAGACTCAAAAAAGACATAAGATAACATGACCTGTTTTTTAAAAAAAATGTGGCTGGGTGTGGTGGCTCATGACTGTACTCTTTGGGAGGCCCAGGAGGGAGGATCACTCGAGCCCAGGAGTTTAAGGTTGCAGTGAGCTATGACAGCACCACTGCACTCTAGCCTTAAACAAAACAAACAAAAAAAAAGCCAAGTATAGAGGTTCAAAGAAAAGCTTAAAAAATGGTAAATAAGATTGGTAGAGCTTAGTTAGAGGCCTTATTAGAAAACATGAAATATAAAACAGCAAGCACAAATAAGCTGGAGGAAAAAAATGGAAAAGAATAGAGACAAAAACTATAGAGATAATATAGAAAACACAAAGAAAATCCAGCAATCTATCAAGAAATATCCTGATGAATTAAAAAGGGATAAATGAGGTTCCAAGCAGAAAAATCAAGTCATGTATAAATGGGAAGAAAAACCAAGATGGTCTCAATCTTAACAAATTTCAGAAGTCAATGAAGCAAAAGGCTCCAAAGGTTTCAGAAAAAGTGTCAGAAATTTCATACTCTGCCAAAGTTGTCTTACCATATAAAGGGAATACGCATTCTCAAGTATGTAAGAAATTAAAAGTATACAGTCATGAGCCTTTGGGAAAAACTGCCCAATAATGAAATTCAACCAAAGAAGAATCAAATTAAGGACTTAGGAACAAAAAAGCAGTAAAAGGAATGGCAGTAAACCCTTTAGAAACTTTAAATAAAAAATGGGAAATAATTATAAGGTTCAAATTAACTACTAATATTATGAACAAAGAATAATATAACTACTAATATTAGTTATAATATATATTATATGTAATATATATCATATAATACATAATAATATAACTACTAATATTAGTTATAATATATATTATATGTAATATATATCATATAATACATAATAATATAACTACTAATATTATTCCAAAGAAATAAAATAACCAGAAGTAGAGAAACTCTTAAGTGTGTTGGTCTCATCCTTCATAGCAGAACTCACGTATAGTCTATTTAAACATACATGATGCTAGAAAAAATAACTCCAGCCTCTTTAGTGTTTTCCTTAGTTTTAGGAGGAATCTTTCAGGAGTAGATTCTCTTGTGGGGAAAATATTGAAGTTGAACATTTGTTCAATTTGTTTTCTTCTGTTAAATACAAGTAAAATTAATTTGCTATATTTACTAAATATAACATATGAGCCCACTTTTGTAAAACTATTTGTATGTAGATGTCTATATGATTAAGAGAGATGGCTGGAATGAATGAAGTTCACCAGATAATAATAGTACTTATTTCTGGCTGATGAACTTTTGAGTGATTTGTTTGTTCTTTGTACTTTTATATAATGCTTATTTTCTTTTGTAATAAGCACATTATTTTTCACACAAAAAAATGAGTTGTTGGAGTTTAAAGCTTTTTTATAAGCATACCAACAGGTTTTATACATTGTTTGCTGGAACTGCAAATTGGTAACCACTTTTCTGAAGGGCATTTTGGCAATATGTGGTGGGAACCTTAGAACTTTTATTCTTTTACCCAATAATCCCATATATGGGAATTCATGCTAACAGAATAGTTAAATATACACACAAATAGCTTTATCCCATCATTTTACATGATTTATGTATATTAGAAAAACTGGAAACAGCTATAATGTCCATCTATAGGAGACTGAAGAAATAAATTACACAGTATATCATCAATACACATATTTTTAATAATCCTAATAGCAAGGGAAAGTATTAACATGTCTTTAAAGATTATACAAAACATGACAAAATAAGATCTTAAGAGTGTTCTCTCTGCATATGATTGATAATTTTTTTGTACTTTTTAATTTCTCTACAATGAATCTGAATTCATAATCAACTTTGCAAATTTATAAAACTGAGCTCCTATATAAATTATAAACTAAGATTATTCTGTTTTTCAACTTAGGACACTTTTGCAAGTTATCAAACACTGGCAGTTACTGAAGGAGGGGCAAATGAGATGCTGACAATTAGTACACATAACACTCTTGTATAAGTAAAACTCAGATTATTGGTTACTAGGTTACCCATCAATAGCTTTTGCCAAGTGGTATACTGCTCTCCTTTGGGAAGGAAGGCTGGGCTAGGGGCATTCTCTGTTGTTGCAGGTTGTTTTCATTTTAAGGAAATTTCAAATACAATCCTCCATCGGTATCCATGGGGGATATTGATTATCGGTGGACCTCCCACAGAAAACCAAACTCCAAGGATGCTCAAGTCCCTAATATAAAATAGCATACACTATTTGCATATAACCATGCACATTCTCCTGTATACTTTAATTCATTTGTAAGTTACTTATAATATGTAATACAATGTAAATGTTATGTAAATAGTTATACTGTATTGTTTTGGGAATTATGACAAGGAAAAAGTCTGTACAAGTTCAGTACAGACACAATTTTTTCCTAATATTTTCAATTTGTAGTTGGTTAAACCCACAGATAGAGGGTTGACTGTACATACAAAAGTTGAACAGCAAAATAAACACCCCTGTATACCTCATCACCTGTTCTCCAAGACCTGGAAGGAGATGAAATGCTTGAACATTAATTTAAAAGAAAATCTTGAATGCTCAAAGTCATATTTTAACATAAATAAATAGGTTGGGTAGGTGTCTCATTAACAAAACAAATGAGCTGACTCTACCACTTAATAGTGTGCTGAAGCTTTAATATGAAAAATTAACAGTAAATACATCTAATCTTAACTCAGGGCTGTAAATACAGCACAAATGCCCTCAACCTCCTGCAACAGATTTCAAATATCTTTCATATAGGGAAATAATGGCAAAGGCCCAGACAGTTTCCTATTTAAGTAATGAATATGTGAGGGAGCAGAACAAAGATAATATATTGTCCTTAAAATACACTTGTATGTACTTATTTTGCACCTTCCAAATAGATCCATAGCATCATTTAGCCTAAAATCCCTGGCAAATCGGGCTAACTAAGGGGTTAGAGAAAATTACCTCACCTCACTGTATAGTACCAAAACAGCTAAAAAAAAAAATATATATGTATATATGCCACCAACAACTTGAGTCTGAATTCCAATACTACAATCATAATTGATCACAATTACCATCCTGGCAAATGTGCTTTCCAGGTGGCAATACAGGACTCAGAATGGATAGAGTCTGGCACATACTAATTCCTCAGTAAATAAGAATTATCTTCCCTCCATTCTAATTGCCAGTGTTAGTCTCAATGTTTAAAAAGCTCTCCTTCAAAAAATGTTTTAATTCAAATTCCAACATGTAAGTGTGTTACCTTTGGAATTCACTTTATTGCTTTGTGCTTCAGTTTTTATTTTCAAGGGAGATAAAATGGAGATGGCCCCTGCTTCTCTCAACTTCGTATGGGTGTTGTAAAGATCCAGTAAAATAAAGGACATGAAAAGATCCTTGAATCTTTAAGTCTATGATTTAAAATACTCTATTCACTGAAATAAAACAAATCTCTGACTTGTTACATCTCCATCATCTAAACCAGCAATCCCCAACCTTTTTGGCACCAGGAACCATTTTCATGGAAGACAATTTTTCTATGGGGTGGGGGGAATGGTTTCGGGATGATTCAAGCACATTACATTTATTGTACACTTTATTTCTATTATTATTACAATGTAATATATAATGAAATAAGTATACAACTCACCATAGGTTGGGGACCCCGATCTAAACAACCAGATGAATTAACCAAATTTGACTGTTGTTAAAAAGATTTATTAACTTAAAATAGAACTACTTCAAATAGAACCGAAAGCAACTTTCTCTTTAAGTTTGAATATGTTCAATATACAAGTATGTAAAAGAAAAAAATTCTGAATCTTCATGTTGTAATTTTATTTTATTTTTTTACCTTTTAAAAAGTTTTTGGCACTACAAGGTTCTGTAAAGAATAGAAGTGACAAATTTAAAACACATGAAATTCTTTCCTAATTCTTAAGAACAATATATAAAGTCTGAAGCAACCAAAGTATGAATACAGCTAATAGAAAATAAAGAATGTAATTTTTTAAATTCTCTCTTTATACAATTCATCAAGGTTAAACAAAACATAAAATTCCCTTAAAA